TTTTTTTATCACCTCTCTGTTTTGTTTTTTTACAGTTGGATCCTCCAGATTGCAGATTATTGCATTTAAAATCAGCCTCTGTGTCGTTCCTCAACCCTGAAGTCTGGACCGCTTCATCAGCTCAGCAAGGGAGATACCTCCGTATCCTTTTCCCACAAGTGTGAAATCTAAAACACATGCAACATGATCGGGCACATACAGTACACGGTCTCCTTTAAGGTCTTTGTGAGTCCTTAACAGCCTTTTACAGATATTCTGAAGGACATTGTGGAGAAGATGTCAGCTGGAGTACTCAGGTAACTTATAAAACACCTCAATCATACTGTGGGGTTGAAAGGTCCGTCACGTTAAAGCCCTGGTGTGTAAGATTTCCTGCAGACTTATGGGTAGATTCATAATACTGAATACCAATTCAGCTTCCCCAGTGACATTTAACAGGATGAGCAGTTCATAAAGTGGATGGATATGTAAATTAAATTAGATCGAAGCTGGATCTTCATACAATTTTAATATATAAAGTTATCTGAATCTTATTATCCAGACAGGGGAATGTCACATGACATGATTTCTGGTCATTTTAGAAGTCGCCTGGTGCAGCTTTAAATATATTGGAGGTATGAAACTGAACAGAGCTCACAGTTGAGTTTACAGTTTTAAGACCGCTGTAAACGTGTCACTGCAGACATTTTTTCTTGACACCGTCATGTGACCTTCAGCCAAAACTGCCAGAGCAATAAAAGGATTGACAGCCCACTTTTTTCTCAAGATGCACTCGCTACAATCCGACCTAATCAAATCCAATCTGTCTGTCTGGTTCCAATCTGCCTCTCCAGGCCTCAGCCCGAGGAGGCGGTCCCTCTCTATGAAGCGACGGTTGCCATGGAGACCGTGCAGCGTCACCAAAAGAAAAAAGCCGTTGTTCAACTCTGACCAAAAATAATCACATTCTGCTGCGACGTGAGACAAACACGGCCCACGGTTCAACAGGATCAGGGCTTAAACTGTTTAATGCAGCCAGTGAACATGTACAAACAGTTGTTGTTTTCACTCGTTAAATTGTTTATCACAACATGCGTCATGTGGGAGACGGGGAGATAGACCTGATGCATTTCCATTAATTGGGCTAATACTGAGAAACAGACACATTAACACCTATAATCAGCGTCTCTGAACCTTTTTTTT